TTGTGATCAGTTGGGACTAAGGGGAGAGCCTCGGGACTCAGCGACGCCGGGGTTAAAATAAAAACAGTTTTTCCATCCGCGGTAGGAGTGTTCCATCACTTGCTTCTCGCCATCGGTTGTCGTCTTATTGTTCACCAAATTCGAGGTCTTTATTAGTCAATGAAATAGTCGTTTAGTTTAATTGCATTTACAGTCGTTTAATACAAGAGTCAATCGCGACTTACATAAGTGAGGATTTGGTGCAACTCATAGGAGTGCGAGTGTTTCATAAGCGCCTGACACAGGGCTGTCCCAAACCAGGAGCCCGTGTGCTCATTACGCCACGAGACGTAGCCTTTAAACCAATATTCAGTCATACAATATAAACATTTACAGACAATAAGTGATAAATGAAAGCCTAATTACCGTCAATAGTGGAGTAGCAGATCATCATATCTCCATTGAGAGGCACTTTTCGTGTGTCAAAACTCTTGGCATCACTGACGGCATCCTCGGTGTCCTCTAAAACAAACTTTGGCCCCAAATCGTGAGCGTCTGGACATGAATACAATAACAGTTAAATATAGCTCTTATTATAAGCCATACAAACCTCCGCGACAACAATTAAAGAAAAAGAGTTTGGGTTTGTTTATGAGATGAGGACTGTTCTCGTTGTTGAACCGCTTTATTATGTCATTGAAGTGAATGGACAGTCCGTCGGCGGCTATACATCACAATATAATCATAAGTTAAAATAATGTGTCAATAATAATCACAATCAAATCACGCGAGTACTCACTGACGACATAACCGGACTGTCCGTGCGATAGCACTATCAGAATGAGGGCGTCGTGTCGTGCGAGCACCGGCTTCTTCGAGTACTGCTTAAGCGTGGCCTCCATGTCCTCTTTGGACTCATTAGTCTTGATCTCAACCGTGAAGTGCAATTGAGTGAACACATCGGCCAAACGGTTGGCCTCGGTCTCCGAGCCGTGACGGATGGGGAAGCAGTCGTTGAGAAACTTGAATGTATTGAATATAAGACAATAGCCGCGGGGGTCGGCGTTCATGCGGTATATGTTTTTGCCTTTCATCTCTTTCTTGCATTTCTTGACATTTATCATAAACTCTTGCGTCTCAATGGAGGCCACAGTACTGGGGCTGTGAAGGGTGCGATCGCTCGCATCGCCGCCCACGGGAAACACATCGACCGTCTCATCGAGCGGTGTATTCGTGATGTCCTCAATCATCTGCTGCTGACTTAAGCCGCTCTCGAATACCTTGGGTCTGAGTATGGCTGCGGCCGCCAACTGATCCACACCGTAGAGCACCTCCGCAAACAGGTTGTAGGCTTCGGGTCCGCGTCGACACAAATCCGATAGAAAGCGTTTCTTGCGATCCCTTTCGTCCTCTATTTTCTGCACAAAATCTCAAACATTTAACACATTTTATATCTCTATTTAATTTATATCTAGAAATTTATATATCACCAAATCAATGATTATTTGTTTAATCAGATAATCAGATAATTAGTTTCAATGTTATGTGTATTTAGCAATGAATTCACTAACAATTGTCACAATAACCGGAATTTATGAACACTTTGTGTATTTAGTGAAAGTAAATATATTAATCACTATTTATATGACAATACAATGTGTCAACTATTCAATGATCCTTAATATACAACTTATTAATTGGTAAATAATCAGCAAATTGGTGGTCAGTTTTATCTTGAACAGTTCACACAATTTAAACACACGTTTATGAGTACAGAATTAGAATTTAAGATAATTATCAATAAATTAAAATTAACTGCTTTTTAATGATAATGACCACAAGGAATGGCATATACATCGGTGGTCTAAACGTCACTGCATTTGGTCTGAGGTTAAGACAGACATGTGAGGGTCAATGACATGCAATGATTGCATCATACCATGCAATTCATCAATGTATTGGTTTTACATGTAAATTGTCTCAAATATATTGACTAAACCATACGTCTGTGCGTCCATCTGGTCCACGACCACCACCTCATCGCCATTACAACCAATATAACCATTTAATAGACACACAAATCATACAAATAGTAGTCAAACGCCGGCTCACAATAATACCTCACTGTGTTTACCCGGGTATTGGTTATCATTGAAAATAACAATCATTTAAATGTATAGATATAATTAAATAGCAATAAATAAAATGCAATAATCCAGGTCATAATTACCATGAAGTCCTGTATCATCTGTGGTGTGAACACATTTTTGTTGATCAACTGATTCAAGAGATTTTGATTCAAATCAATGTCTTTGCACAACAAATCCATATTTGTCTGAATGGTGTGTCTGTCGGACGGATTCATGTCTTGGGAGTGAGTGTCGACACACTGTCTGACGAGTGGTAGATGTGGTGAAGACTGTGGCAGATGTGGTGATAACTGT